TATTCCATCACACTCCTGACTTGTGCTTTGTAGATGGTGGACAGACTTTTGGTGTGGGGTGGGGGGTGTCCAGTGGTAAGTTACACACTGCAGGATTCCTATCCTCTGATGTGCTTTTGTAGTTGCAGTATTTATATGGCTAGCCCAGTTCAGTTTCTGGTCAATAGCAACCATTCGATGTTGATAATGGAGGATTCAGCAATGAGACTACTGTTGAATATCAAAGGGAGACAGTTAGATTCTCTTGTTTGGAGATGGTTGTTTCCTGGCACTTGTGTGGTGCAAATGTTTGTCACATCAGTTGAAACCTGGATTTTTTCTGCATTTGGAAATGGACTGCTTAAGTAGCTGAAAAATTGCAAGTGATTTTTCACATCACAATCATTGGTAAATAATCCTCCCCTCAGTTATGATGGAATAAAGGTCATTGAAGCAGCTAAAAGTGATTGAACCTAGGACACCACCCTGAGGAAGTCCTGAGGTCATATGCTTGATCTCCGATAATTGGCCTCAAACAACCACAGTAATTTTCTGTCTGTTCTCTGCATGACTCCAACCAGCAGAAAGTTTTTGCACTTATTTTCCATTGACTCCAGTTTTGCTAGAGCTTCTTGATGCCACATTCTTGCATGTGGCCTTGATGTCAAAACCAGTCAATTTCACATCAGCTCTGCAATTCAATTCTCTGGTTCAAATATGGACAATGCTGTAATGAGGTCAGAAGCTGAGTTGCCCTGGCAGAACCCAAACTGAATGTCACTGAGCAGGTTATTGTTGAGCAGGTGCTGCTTGATAGCACTGTTGTTGATAGCTTTATTGATGATTGAGAATAGACTGATGGGACATTAAATGGCCAGGTTGGATTTGACTTGATTGTTGTGTTCAAGGACATAATAGGACAATTTTGTACATTGCTGATACCAGTGGTGTAGGTGTACCGGAACAGCTTGGTTGGGGGAGTGTCAAGTTCTAGAGCACAAGCCTTTAGTACTGTTACTGGAAAGTTGTCTGAGCCCATAGCCTTTGTTGTAGCCAGTAACTTCAGTTTCTTGACATCACCATGAAGTGATTTCAAATTGTCTGAATACTGGTATGTGTGATGCTGTGGACTTCTGGAAGAGACCGAGATAGATCATCAACTTGATACTTCTGGCTAAAGATTGTTGCAAATGCCTCGTCATTTGCAACACTGATGTGCTAGGCTCCCACATCATTGAGGATGAGACGTTTTGTGGAATCGCTTCCTCCTGTTAGCTGTTTAAAAGTCTATATCATTCACAACTGGATGTGGCAGGGTGCAGAGCTTTGCTCTGAAGCATTTGTTGTGAGAATATTTAACTCTGTCTGTCCACTGCATGCTATTTCTGCTGTTTGGCATGCAAGTAGCCCTTTATTGTAATTGCACCAGGTTTACATTTTATTTTTAGGTATGCCTGGCGCTGCCCCTGAATGAACGGTTGATGTCCTGGCTTGATGGCAATGGCAGGGTGAGAGATCCTATAGGCCATAGGGTTACAGACTGTGGTTAAATACACCCCTTCTGTTACTGGTGGCCCAAAGTGCCTCATGGATGCCCAGTTCTGACGTGTCAGGCTGCTCTCATTTTGCATAATAGGAGTGGCCATACTCTCTCAATGGATATTATCCTCTGTGAAGGTGAGACTTCATTGTCACATGGACAGGGGGTTGGTCAGTCCTACACGTTCAAATGCACCTTCAACTGATAATTGATAAGGACAATGTCAGAGGTTTTCCGTCCTGTTGGTTCCTAGATGACCAGGTCCAGACTAATGGATGTGTCTTTCAGGACTCAGCCAACCTCCTCAGTCGTGGTGCTACTGAGCCGTTCTGGCGACAAGATATGGGAGTTCCCCAGGGCAGCAGTGCCCGTGTTACCTTCAAACTGTTGTGATATTATAGACTTCAGAACTTTAGTAACTGATTCATCAAAAGATAAGCTATTATATGCAGCAATAACTCTGTCTGGAATAATCCGTTAAGGAACAAAGACAAGCTCTTACAGAGACTCGAGCAATTAACCATGTCTTGTCAAGATTACATAAACGAAACTGCTTTGACACCTGCCTGATAAACTGGATGCTTTATGTCTACAAAAGACAAGGGTTGCCCTGTAGAAGAATTTTTAAGGAGTTAATCACAGGAAAGCTGTGTCTTCAAACAGACAGCCAAATGTAAGAAGAAGCAAAGGAATTATTTTTGATAAGAAGGCCAGCTGTAGACTTGCAGTAAGTCGGAAATCATCAATAGATCTCCTTAGAGACCAGGATAAAAATCCGCATAAGAATTCAAAATTCAACAACAGAACTTCGAAGAATAACACTATTCAAGGATTGAACCCTGGAGAGTCCCTGAGACAGACTACTGTTGGTGTGAAATCTGGCCAGGATTTTCATATTAATCACGTAATAATTAAGTTGTGTTGCAGGCTTACACCTGCTTGCTTGAGGGGTTTGTTTTTAGTTGTTACACGTAATAAAATTTAATTCATTATTTAAGCATTTGAGTGTGAGATTTCTTAAGTAGCTGAATTAAAGGTAACTTGTGATTTACCCACAACACTTTTTATACGGATCTTAAAGGATTAATGCAGAGGACTACTATAGCATGATGCTGTCATATGGACTTCTGGACAAAACTGCTAAGCATCTGAAAGGAGGTAGACTCAATGCCTGGTTCTCAAAGTCTCTGTAGTGATGGCTGGAATCTGAAGTCTGAGTTGTGTGGGCTATGGCAAGTTTCATGGCAGAATTGGACAAGAAGTCCAATGGGACCTATCACGATGACAGGAGCATCTTGTTTCATCTTTAATTTTGTTAAGAAGTAATTCAAGTTTCTTGCACAAACATTGGCATCTGATATGTGTCAGCCTGTAACAATCCTCATGACACACCTCTGATTCACTTACAGGACACTTCTGCACACCAGTGCTCTCGGGTTTCGCCAGCAACTCTTTTATTGTAATGCTGCAGCAAGGACACTTTATGCTTGGCTCATGGATTGGACCAGGCTGCATCCTACTGTCAGTGTGCTCTTTCACACTGAGCCACCTGGATCCCAGCATCCCTGCTGTGTATTGCCTTGTCATTATGCTCTTTGCCCCCTCAGCCAGAGATACCAGGCTCACTGTACTACAGCGTTGCTGTGCATTTATCAGAGACATAAAGCCAGGAAGCTTGTCATGGTTGTCAGCAGACTTCTGTGAAGTCAGGGGAGATAACCTTCACTAGGGGAGGGTGTGATCCCAGCGCAATAAATCAAATCCAGCCTTTGATACCAATCCATGGGCTTGGACACATTTAGTCAGCTGCTCTGAGTGATCAGAGACAGGATCCTCTCCTCATAAGGGATGGGGTGTGGGGGTCTGAATATTGGGCTGCCCACCACCTCTCGACTGTTTCTTCCCTACTGCTGTTTCTCTCTTGGAACAAGAGAGAGGCAAGTATTAAGGGAAGTTAGAGTGGGTCAGGGTGATGTGGGGAAGATGTTGCAGGCATTAGTGAGAGTGGTAGAACACAAGCCTTGGTGGGAGGAGGATGCAGTAGCAGAAATGCACTGAGTTTGAGATAGCAGAGAGAAAATGGTGGCCCTTATGCTAATGGAATGGAGGTTATTGACCTTTTTTTAGTGCTGGGCATTCATCCAGATGGTTGAGTCTGTACTGACCTGGGTGGCAACCAAGCTGGTATGACTGCCAATGCTGGTCCTGGAGGAAGAGGACCTCTTGCCTCTACACGCCTCATCCAGCAGGGTCTCTCAGTCTCTGGCTGCTAAGAAAGGTACCAAATCCCTTCTCTGTCTGCCATATCCCAGGCAAATGTCAGGAACTGTGCATGGTTCCAGACTGACTGTGCTTGTCTGGGTGGACAGTGAGCTTTTCAAGATGATCCTGGCCCCCAAGAATGCTGGGCTATCGCAGCAGTGGTGAGTTGTTGTGGGAGGGGTGCATGGTAAAATGGAGCTGGAATTGGACAAGAGGGGACATGAGGGATGGATTAGGCAGGAAAATGAGGTGCATTTGCATAGATTCAGTGAGAAAACTCACTAGGCCTCCCAGCAAAAACAGCAAAAAACTCGTTGCAACTGAACTTACATTTTTTTAGCCGTCATATCAATGTAACTTGAAGCTAGTTATTAGCATATAATAAACTACATCTTGTTAACTGCAAGAGACTCTTCCAATCAATATTTCGAGTTCTGGTGTGACTCTTCTTCAGAAAGCTGATCTGTGAGAGTCGGAGTTTAGTGGTGAGCAAGCAGATACCAGATGCTCTACAAGAGAACTTAAAATGCCTGATGGGTCACGGGAAAAGGTGCAGTAATCCAGACTGGAATAGCGAGAAGTTAAAAATAATTCTTTAGTGTCCTCTCCAAAATGAGCATGTGCCATGAGGCAAAGCTACAAAATGGAAGTAAAGGGCTATAAAAGTGACATTAATTTGAGGCTGAGGGCCAGGGACATTGAAAAGACAGACTACCGAACATTAATCATGTTAATTACTAAAAGTTTGAGCAGACCTGATCTAATTGGGACAAAATGTTGGAGAGACTTTATTCAGCCTGTGGAAAAAGTAGGGAATCTTTCAGTAAAGCCCTGGTTAAAGTTGGAATTGTTCATTAAAATTGTGAGCAATGGGATTCATGCAGTGAAACTGCAATCATTGGGAAACCTCCATTTTACTTGAGCAGGACAGAATTCTTTCATGTTAGCTGCAAGACATGGAAAATCCCTCCAATATAACATCAAAGTGCAACAGCAGAACTGTTGTTACTGTGGAATAAAAGATTTTTAAGCAAACAAAGTACATAATCTCATTAGGAAGACATGTCATCAGAAATAATGTTGCTAGGAAGGCTTAATTTCAGAGATTGGCTAAATAGAACACAGAATGGGACATCCTGAAACCATTTTGAGATTTAGAATGGCCTCTTAATTGTGTACTAATTTACAAGCTGAAAGAGTAAATTTACTTGTCCTCTAGTTGAAGATCCTCCAGTTTAAGGGGACCCACAGACCTCAGACTATGAGGAAAGCATCAAAGACAACAGATTCCAGCAAACTGAGTCCTCTGAGACCAAAGAGAATGCATTCTGGGAGAGCATTCAAAATTCCAAACTGCCTGAATTTGTAAATTCAGAGACCTGGAGCAAGATGGGGTTGTGGTAAGTGGAATTGTGTACAGTAACGTAGAACATATTTGTTGTAAAACAAAGCTGTGAAGGAGATTTGTACATGGGTCTGAAAGGGTTAAATCTGAAGAGTGCCGTAAGCCCACTCACTATGATGATAGTATAGGGCCTTGTTGGCAGTGTAATTTAGGATCACGAAGGAGTGAGGCCTAACAACTAATCCTCCTCAAAGCCTCTAATAATGTCTATCATATGAATGTAACATGTTAGCAGTTGCTAACATGAAATGTACTACATCTTGTTAACAACTAACGACTCTCATGATTAGACTAGAGAGTGGCTTTCCTCTACCACATTAAGCAAACCCACCCCGTGGTTCTTTACTGTTAAAGTCGATGGTGGTAGCCGCTCTCACCATGAGCAGCAGCTCATAACAGTGCAGTGAGCTGGCCTACACATGTAACAGTAATCAGCAAGAGCTTTCCTCGCCTATACTTGACCTGATGTGAAGAGACTGCATTGAGATTAGATTCGAGGTTAATTCCTTCCTGACTATCTACCACTGTGCTACCACCTGGAAGGTATATCCTGCTTCATAGTCAGGGGCTGTTTGAAGGAGTCCAGGATAGTGCCTTTCTGGGTGATTATGACAATATCAGGTTAATGCCTGACTAGTCTATGGGACAGCCGTCCCAATTTTGACACACACTGCCGCAAAGGCTAATAGGATGAACTGGAATTGACTGGCTAGACCGTGCCTTTGTTGATGCTGTATTGATGTCTGGCTTTATCGTTATTCTACGTTTCTATAGCAGTTTGATACAACTGGCTCAGCCAGGATGTTTCAGACAGATGTTAAGAGTCCACCAATTGCTGGGTCTGGAGTTTTAATGTGAGAATGCCAAATTTCCTGACCATAAGGGTGAGTGAACCAGAGGTTTTCACAACAGTCAGTTTCCTGTCACCATTTACTGATCTTGGCTATTTTTATTCCAGATTTGCTCATTTTAGCTGAATTGCTGCTTTTATTGCTGCTCTAATTGTGATAGCAAGTGTAGCTCCTGTGTATTTTATCTTGTATATTTGTGTAGCGACAGAATATTCCTTCAATTGTCAATTCAATGACTGAATGAGCTTGTGGGGAAGATTGTATTTTATGGTAACTTCTGTGAGTTTGTGCTTCTAATGACAAACTTTAGAAGTGCAGATAGGCTTATGTGGTACTTTTTATATTCTAAACATTATTTGAAACTCATCCCCATAGTCACTGGAATTTTGTTTCTGAGAGGCAGTGCTCCCTTTCAGAAGCATGAGTTCACAATGAACTGAATGTTATTATTATTATTTCTGTCTCTTGCAGGAAACAGAAGTCCAAGGTTGCAGCTGTGAAGATAAGTGAAGAGAATTACTAGGTAGGAACAAAAATGAGAATTCATTTAGTTAGTGGCTGCAGGTCAGTTTTTGTCCAGTAATGTGCTTTGTGGCAGGATCATTAGAGTTAAGTATGGACTAGAAGACCTGGGTTCAAGTCGTACCTGCTGCAGAAGTGTCATAGCATCTCTGAACAGGTTGATTAGAAAACATCTAGAGTTGAGTTTGAACAAAGTGCTGTCTTTCACATGAATCTATAAACCTGAGGTCCTGTCTGCCCACTCGAGTAGATGTAAAAGGTCTTGGGGCACCGGCACCATTTGAAGAAGAGGAGTGAGGTTCTGTTAGTGGCCTAGTCCACATTTGTCCCTGTCCAGATTTTGCCTGCCTTACTGTGTATATCCAGCATTTTCTGCTTTTAGTTGTCAAAAACGTTGGTTATTTCCTTTTATTTGTGGTTGGTGAACAGCTTTAAGTGCAGTGCCACACATTTGTAAACTGTTCTCTGTACAGATCCTGACTGACCTGTTTTGTGTTTCCAGCATTTTCTGCTATTGCTTCAGATCTGATTTTTTTTAATGCTGTGTTCTTTGCAAGCTTTGATATCAATTGTGAAACATGTATATCAAAAGAATAAAAGTGCAAATGGGTTGTTCAGTTCTTTCATGGTGCAATGCAATCAGTGTCAGACTAACATCTAATCCTGAGGTAAGTTCAGGTACAAGTATTGTTTCAAATCCTTTGAAGATGAACTCAAACAAAGCAATTTAATTATTGATTGTTAGATTTTCTCTTTGTTGGAGAGGAAGGACATTGTCCTGCTGCTGAAGTATCAGATCATTGGAAAGCCATCAAGTTCACTATCAAATAGAGAAAATCCATTCCACAAAATCAGCACATTAAGTCCATTATTTTTCAAATGGAGCTACTCTCGACTTTCCGATCGATGTTTACAAGCAGACTGTCTTTAATCCAATCTGAATGTGAATGGAAATGGCTAGAGCAGAGGTCATTAACTCCTCGTGTGCAGCTGCTAGTGTCATGATAACCTGCTTTACGCAAAGTTTGCTTTTCAGTCTACTGGCTAGGGACCTAATTGATTATTTTAAGAAAAAAAACAGGCCATTCAGCCCACTGAATCTGAACCGGCCCTCCAAGGAGCATTCCATCCAGCCACCCACCCTATATTTCTCATAGCCTGCACATCCCTGGACACTATATGGGACAAATTTAGCATGGCCAATCCACCTAACCTGTACATCTTTGGACTATGGGAGGAAACTGGAGCACCCGGAGGAAACCCACGCAGACACCAGGAGAATGTCTGTCTGTGGAGTTTGCACAGTCACCCAAGGCTGGAATCTAACCCAGGTCCGTGCCAATGAGGCAGCAGTGCTAATCACTGCCACTCGTGCCACCCAGTGGAGATTATAACTGCATTCCGGTAAATTGAACACACAGCAAAGATAGGCTACACAACGTTTGTCACTGTACACTCTCTATATTCTGACACCAGCCCACCAAAGACGATAGCCTTAAGATTGTACATGAACCATATTCCGAATCCCAATGGCACATCATCCAGACATTCACCCACTCAACTGGGTGGACACAAACCATGAGGCATGACCATCAACACAATAGGACTCTGGCTGAGAGAGGAATTCCCAGACACTATTCAGTCAAGCTGCAGTTGGAATACACGAGCCATGACCTTGTTTGGATCCATGGGCAGTTGGATGGAAAAGTCACGTGAAAGGCCACCCAATTGTGTGTTTTAAGCACCTGCAGCCTGGATGCGAAAAGCACAAGAACCAGAGCATGTTCCTTCCTTTCTATTTACACAATCTGTCAGTTTTTTTTAATGCAGTCTACTGTTTTGTAACTACTCCCAGGTGTTGCAGGCAAAGCTTTTAGGAAGCACTGAACCCAGCATGGCCGTCTCCAAGACTGCAGAATCATCTAGCCAGCCCACACATCCTCCTCTGACCTGGGCAATCTAGCATGGCCAATCCACCTAACCTACACATTTTTGGACTGTGGGAGGAAACCAGAGTACCCAGAGGAAACCCGCACAGACACAGGGAGAATGTGCAAACTCCACACAGACAGTCATCTGAGGGTGGAATTGAACCCGGGTCCCTGGCACTGTGAGGCAGCAGTGCTAACCACCGTGCCACCCCATGTGAAGAGATGGGGTTGTGTTGGAGGAAATTATAGAGCTAGGGAGGGGCAAGGCCATGGATGGATCTGGAAACAAGGATGAGACTTTTAAATTCATGCCGTTCCTTGAGTGGGAGCCCAATGTAGGTGAGCAAACTTAGGGTGATAATGGGAAAGCAAACTGCTGGGAGTTAAGTTACAGAGACCCAGAGTTTCGATGACTACAAGTTTATGGAGTTTATAATGCAGGAAAATCAGCCAAGAGTGAATTGTTATAAAATCAAATCTAGACATGTAACCGATGGCATAAAGGAGCAGCAAATGAGTCAAGACAGGGGTGAAGTCATACAATGTTGCCAGAGGTGGAAACAAGAAATCTTTGAGATTGGTCAGAAATTCAACTCGGGTAAAAATGGCAGCAAGCCAGCTAAATCTTGGACTGCTACATGGGAGAGGGATGGGGTCTGTAGTCGGCCTCTGAGCTTGCAAACAGTCGCTACTACAATCTGTTTGTTTCAGTTTGGTTTTTTCTTCCTGCCACCAAATGCCTCTGTCTTTCTTGACTAAAGTCGCAACAACTTATTGGCAATTATGTTCTCTTGTCCTACCACATGTATAATTTTCAAATTGAATGGCTGCAATTATAAACTCCATCTAAACAGTTGGGTATATTTTCCCCAAATTTTTCCGAAAACATTAAGGGGTTATGGTCAGTAAATACAATTGTCTCGGATACATTACTGACAAAAGTTTTGAAATGTTGCAAAGCCAATACCAACACTAAATTCAATTGTGGAATATTTCTGTTGATTCTTCAATTTTCTGGAAAAATATCCAATAGGTTTTTCTATCCTCTTGTCGTCTTTTTGTAAGGGTGCAGCACCAACACCCACATTTGTATCGATAGTCACCTTGAATGGTTTTGCATAGTTAGTTGTGGCTAACACTGGAGCAGCGGTAAACACAGCTTTCAGGTTGTCAAATGCTTTCTGACACCGTTCCATTCAGGTGAGTCAATGAAGGAATCACACTGCTAAAATTCTTTACAAACCTCCAATAAAAACCACTCGGTCCCAGGAATTGTTGTACTTCCTCTTCGTCAATGGTATGGGAAACTCCCCAATAACTTTTTTTGTTTTCACATCCTGTGGGTCCATTTGTCCATGGCCAATCACATGGCCCAGGAACATAACTGGGCTTTTGCAACCTCGCTCTTAGCCAGGTTTATCACCAAGCCTGCCTTCTGAAATTGATTAAATAATTCTGCTAGATGGTCCCAATGTTCCTTTCATGTGTGACTAAAAATCACCATATCATCTATGTACACCACACAATTGGGTAACCCTGAAATGACCTTATTGGTTAGTCTTTGAAATGTGGCTAGTGCATTTTTCATACTAAATGGCATGATTTTAAACAAGTGTGGTCCGTTGGGTGTCATGAAAACTAAAATTTCCTTTGCTCTTTTGGATAAAGGTACCTGCCAGTATCTTCTAAGTCCAACTGAGAAATATAAGTTGTTTGTCCCACCTTCTCAATACAGTCTTCCAAATGTGGAATGGGATATGAATCAGATTTCGAAACTGTATTGACTTTGTGATAGTCCACACATAATCATTGGGTACCATTTGGTTTTGGCACCATTACCATGGGTGAGCTCCATTCGCTGTAGTTCCCTTTTGATTATTTCGTCTCTGAGCATGCTTCCATCTCTTTTTGAACATCTACCAACTTTTGCGGGCTAAGGATGTTGCTTACTTTGAACAGCATTTCCTATATCTACATTATGTGTAATCAAAATAGTATTTCCCAGCTTATTCCCATGTATCTCCCCAGGCAATAGTAATAACTCTTTCCTGTTAGTTTGACCTTCCTCTGGAAGGTAACTCAATTTATCCCAATTTTTGAGAACTTCATCATTGTCCAATTTAATTTGAGAAATGTCTAATTCAGAATCATCTGAACATGATTCTTCACTCTCTGTATTGTAGTTGTTTATTTCTAAGCTATCCATAACTTCCTTGAATAACTTTGATGTAAAATTTGACCCTTGATCTGATTTATATTTCTGTGGCTTATCCATATTTGGTTAAAAACAGAGTAACTCTTCTGCAATATTTTTAGCTGTGATGGGGAGGCAATGGGCTCGTGGTATTATTGCTGGACTGTTGATCAAAGACCCAGAGAACATTCTGGGGACCCGTGTTCGAATCCCGCGAGACTCTCTTGTAAAAAAGTCCTCAAATGCGGGAATGAGTATTAAGGGTGCTAGTTTTATCACTGCCTGAGGTTTTCCTCTTACTTAACACATGTGACGTATCTGGCCAAATTCAACCACATTCTTCATGCATTCCAGGCCAAAAAATGTTTTTTATTCGGGATTAAGGAAAATTTAAGCCAAAATGACCTCCAAATGGTAATTCATTTGCTACCTGCAACACCTCCTTTCTATAACCCACCAGTAACACAAGTTGTTGAACTTCTGCCCATTTTTCATCTGCCTGAAATATGTGTCGGTCTCCATTTCCTCATCAAGACGTCATTTTTAGGATAGTTAACATTCCGGGATACACTCAATCTTCCATGTATACATTTTGATGCAACTGCTTTAGTTTTTCATCTTTCTGTTGTAATTCAATTTAGCTTCTCCACACTAGAAATATCCATATTGTACTCCACCTGTTCTTGTTTGATCAAATGGTAGGAAAAAAACTTAATTTCTGATCATTGAACTTCAACTTCCCTGACTTTACTCCTTGATTTCTCCTCCTGTTTCAACTAATGGCTTTGTGACCTTGTCACCACATAGTCAGGAAAAATCTCCAGATATATTTCCTGGAACACCTCAGTTGCCTGATTTTTCCATTGGCTTTTCAAC